TCCAACCCTGTAACTTTAGATGGATGGTTCCCCCGGCAACCAGCCCTGTCCTGTCCTTAGGTTACCTAGGGGCTTTCCAAAAGTCATCTCATTAACATGAACTCTTGGGGTGCTTGAACGGGGTTTGTTATGCATTACAAAAGACACATTTACTGCTCCTATCTCTTCGGAAATTCCAAGGGTTTTAGGAGCTGTGTGCCAGAAATGGGATGAAGACCAAATATGTATTTCTTATAAAATCACAATCGTTCACATCGCTCTCCTGTTCCATGGATGCTGGAAGCTTTTCCTTACTCGTAGTCGCTATATTGTCTGTAACTGACTTTTAAATACTTCAACATAAACAGCGTCATGTACATGTATATAAACTAACTTTAATCCATGGTGGGGGACATATAGTTAACATTTGAAGGGTCCCAGTCAAGAATCCGTGCTCTGTGATCAGCACTTTGAGCCCCCCACCCCCCCTCACCGCCGCCCCGGGGCAGGAATTCACGCTTCCAGAGAAGGCTCCCTCCGCCAAGAACTTGCAATATCATTATTTAAATCTGAATCAGATGATGCGCTAATTAGCATATCAGAAATAGTTTTTCGCTGATGAAATCAGTGCTGTATCGGAAAGGTGGTTGGCTGGAATGGGCTTGCACGGACAAGCTAGAAGAATCCAGCATCCAAATGGCATGCTAACTCCAGCCCGGGGGATGTCTGGTCTTTTGTACCTCTGCTTAAAGAGCAACTCTGTTGCCCGATGTGGCCCAAGAGTTTGGTAGACTCCCTGGCCTCAGAACACTGCTGCGTTTTCCTGGGGCCCTGATTTTCCTGCAGGAAAAGAAGAAGAAGCCAGAGAGAGAGAGAAGCCAGAGAGCAGGGCCTGACCACCTGGGTGTGTGTGTTGTCTGTGTTGGCTAAGAACCTGCGTGCATGTGAGAGAGCCGGATCAGAGACTTGCTTTAGAGCAACGTGTCACCTGGGGGTGAGGTCGAAGGGACACACAGAACCCCGAATAAAACACTGACAATTGCCGAAGGCCCAGATTCATTTGGCAACGATACCTGACCTGAATTCTTCACAATAACCATAGCCCTCATTTAGTGACAAGTCTTTTGTTCAGGGTTTGAGCCCAACCCATTTAATCCTTTAAACCTGCCAAGGTTGGCAATTCATTTATAAGGGAAGAAAATTAGGTTCTGAGAAGGTGCCTGAGATGATCCAGCCGGTTGGTGTAAGAGCTGGGATTTAAAGCCAGGTGAGCTCTTTCCCGAATGTCCAAACCAATGCCTTACGTCTGCCCACGCTGCTCGCCAAAGCGGGTTAAGCGCGCATCGACCTCTTGTTACCTTTATGCGATAAAATGATCCCGGCACGATAAAATCCTAAGGAGGAGAGGTGTAGGGTCAGATCTGACTTCAGTGGGCAGGGAAAAAGGGACACAGTGGGTGTCCCCCTGCTGGCAGGTGACTAAGGCAGGTGGGGGGGGGGCAGAAACCACACACTGTGCTTGGCAGACTGTGAGGTATTCCATGGCGTCATTATCAGAGAATAGCAGCCTTTTAGAATTAAGAATAGTCTTAATTTGCACTTCGTTGGGGTTTTCATTTACATAATGTTCGAATGCAAAGAAAATTCATACAAAAAAAAAATCCACTGCTAATTTAGCATTGGAGTTCTTGTTTAAAAACCCACTGAAAGAGAGAGGATTTTTCACTTAGCGCTCAGGTTTAGGTGGTCAGGCAGTTTTCTAACTCTTGCATTGTGTCAAACCCCAAATGAGAAGGTGTTTGCCTCTGAGCAGATCTGTTGGTATGATCCAAATGCTAATCACCATTTCAATAACGTAGTTGGTGTGGAGGATTTAATATAATTTGTTTAAGGGTTCAGAGAAAATTTTTTATGCGGGGCCTCATTAAAAGCGCTTGCAGTCTCGAGTCTGGTGGGAATGATCATTATAACAGGTGTTAATTCAGCTGATGACACCACCCAGAATTTCAATTGTGACGGATTTAGGGATGGGAGGCAGAGAGGAGTAGGATCCATAGTGCCTTGGGAGAGATCCCATATGTGCTAAGCAGGTGCCTCAGGAGGTAGATGGACCAAATGACAGTTTGGAGCATGTGCCATGGTCCTGGTGAAAGGGGTGATTAAAGGACACTCTTCAGGCCTCCCTGCCTGCCCGGCACCCCCAGACCACCCTGTGCAATGGTGCTGACAAAAGGCAGTGAGGCACTGCATTCAAGGTCTCCCTACACCTTGCCCCTGGCCTTCCCAGCCTCCCTGTGTGTGGCACCACCCTTCCCATCTGAGCCCACACCCTGCCTCGATGCCACCCTTTGCCCTTGAAGCCTTTCCTCATTCTCTTCAGATGCATAAAATAACTTCCGGCTCCTCTTGGAAACAGGCAGTTTCAGCCTCCCCCTCCAGTCCCCACACGTCCAAAGACACACGCTTGAAACTCCCCTGCTCAAAACGGCTTGTTCTGTGAAAACCCTTCCCCAGTTCACCTTCCCCAAACCCATTGATCATCTTTCTTTTTTTCAAAGCATAGCCTTTTCTGTTGCTAAAAGATAAACCGGGGTATAGGACAGATTTTAAGCGTTTTTGGAGCCAAAATGGGGGCCCCCGGGTGGCTCAGTTAAGTGTGCCTGACTTCAGCTCAGGTCATGATCTTGTGGTTCTTGGGTTTGAGTCCCCCTCCCCCCCACCCCGCTTCGGGCTCTGTGCTGACGGTTCAGAGCCTGCTTCAGATTCTGCGTCTCCCTCTTTCTCTGCCTCTCCCCTGCTTGCCTGTGCTCTCTCTCTTTCTCAAAAATAATAAACATTCAAAATAAATAAAAAAAAAAGAGTTCATTTGAACAAAAGTTAACTCAAGTTGGGCAGCACCAACACGTTAAGTGGTTAGGAGAGCTCCTGGGAGCCGGGGAAAATACTTATATAGGGAAGGTGCAGAAGGAAAAAAAAAAAAAAGGTAATTAGTTGATTGGCTCCAGCCTAAAGCCTGGTTGGCTATTTATGATGGGTTATCCTTAGGTTTTGATTTCTTTTTCTGTTTTTGGTTTATTTGTTTATTTTGAGAGAGAGAGAGAGAGAGAGAGAGAGAGAACATGAGCTGGGAGGGGCAGAGAGAGAGGGAGAGAGACAGAACCCCAAGCAGGCTCTGCACTAATAGTGTGGAACCCGACTCAAACCCACAAACTGTGAGATCATGACTTGAGCCGAAATCAAGAGTCAGATGCTTAACCGGCTGAGCCACCCAGGTGCCCCTAGGTTTTGATTTCTTAAACTTGATGTATTTACAGGCTTAGGTCTCAGTTTGCTCACATCGGCCACCAAAGCATTAGAGCCACTTCAGTCTAATTTAACTTAGACTGAATTAGCCACTTCAGTCTAATTCCTTACTTAATTTAACACCATATGCACATTATTTCTGCTATTTTTGTTTCTGCGTCTTCACTTTCTTCAAGCTCCTGGCAGGTAGTGGCTGGGTCCTTTCCAGATACTTGTTCCCTATCTTCCCTATCATCGGGCGGTCGGCAATGACCGGATCACACATAAAAGTATGTCACAACGGAAGGACTCACTTTTCTTCACTAGGCTGACTCACTTGGTGCTGACAGGAACCTCAGCTATCTTTTTAGTATCCTTTGTTGTGGCCACTGGGATGGGGAAATTCCTTCTCCCTAGAGCAGTAATCATTCCATCCCCCGCAGCCATTCATTTCCACTCTGTAACCTATTATAATCTATTAAGTGCCAGACAGGGAGATAGGTCGAAAAACCTAATTATAAGTTAGAAAAGGAGGTAAGTACGGTTAAAAAAAAAAAACAAGACAACAGGCCCCAAATGGAGTCACTTGTGCTAAGCCCCATGCCACCAAATTTAGACTTAATTATAATTTCAGTCTCCTCCAGGAATGGACTCTTAAACCAGTCAATTTGGAATTACCTGGTCAGCACTTCTAAGGTATCTGCCTGATAGACCCCTGCTGTCCCCTAGAGAAAGGTGACCTTGCCACAAGTAATCCAGTCTTTGCTTTTGTGAATAACTTCCTCCTCCTGCCCCCTCTGCCTGTATATCTTTTATTTTGTACAGCTCTTTGGAGCTCCTTTCTGTTGGATGGGATGCTGCCTGGTTCATAAATCATCAGATAAAGCCAAGGAGATCTTTAAAATTTACTCAGTTGAACTTTTTTTTAATGTTTATTTTTGAGAGAGACAGAGTGCGAGTGGGGGAGGGCTTTAGAGAGAGAGGGAGACACAGCATCCGAAGCAGGCTCCAGGCTCTGAGCTGTCAGCACAGAGCCCCACATGGGGCTCAAACTCACGAACCGTGAGATCATGACCTGAACTGAAGTTGGATGCTCAACCGACTGAGCCACCCAGGTGTCCCTGAACTTTTGTTTTCTAATAGCACTAAGATTGTTGGTCTAATGGAAGGGAGAATATGATCAACATCTCAGGAGAGAGGCATATATCAAGATTTGTAGGGCTTTGGAGTGGTTGGGGGAGTATCTGGGCAGAATCAAGAAGTGACCTTTTAGGTGAAGAGTAAACAATGGCAGGGTGTGCGGGGCATTTTTATCTCTGTTTTTGACTGGCGCAGGAAAATGGAGGAGGGTTTCTGGGGATTCTATGTCTGAGTGGAATGTATTAGACAAAGGGGGGCAAAAAAGCCAGCACGGGTGTCTACTCTTCTTGTCTTGAGAATGCCAAGAGCAATTCGGGTCATCACACACTTAAACTGGGTCTGTCCAAGTGGCTTTCCATGCCTCCTTACACTCTAGTACCTAAAGCCATGCCCACCCAGTGTTACTTGTTTTTAAAGTGTTTTTTTTAATGTTTATTTTTGAGAGAGAGAGAGAGAAAGAGACAGAGCGAGGGTGGGCGGGGGAGGGGCAGAGAGAAAGGGAGACACAGAATCCGAAGCAGGCTCCAGGCTCCAACCTGTCAGCATAGAGCCCAACACGGGGCTCGAACTCACAGACCGTGAGAGCATGACCTGAGCAGAAGTCGGACGCTCAACCGACTGAGCCACCCAGGCGCCCCTCAGTTATTGTAAAGGCTCCAAGGGAAGGACATAGAAGTCTTTGATATGCAATTTTTCAGAGGTTTTCAAAGAATCTCCAGTTTTAGATCTTCTCATTCTGCCCAAACCCGGGAAGGGGCGTCCCAGTCTATGTTCATGGAGAAGGAGATAATTTCCCAGGGTCCCTCAGCAGACCTGCCAGGAGTTTTTAATCCCGGAGTCTACATAACAATAATGACCTTTTCTATGTTTTCGCACCACACCCTTTTCTTGGTCACAGAGGTTCAAGAAGTTGAGTTGCGGGGAGATCAAGGCAAGACCCCTAGGTAAAAGTGGACCCAGAGGTTGAGGGCAGCCTTTAAAGCCTGCACTCCTTCACGGGAACAAAATACCCCATTTGAAAATTCACAAGCAGATCCCTCATTACATTTTTTTTCTAGAGGAGTATAGAAAACAGGATTTGACCTGGGAGCACTATAAGGTAACTCCCCACGTGGCCCAATCGAGGGCCCGAGGTGGGAGAAAGGCAAATGAGCGCCACAAGCTGCCTGTGGGGGGTTGAAGCAGGGCTGGGCCGTGAGAGGGGAGAGGACCTGAGCCCTTCTGTCTTTTGTGCTGGTTCTCACGGCCTTGCCCACCCCTGGACTTGAGACACGGGCTCTTCTCTCTGCCTCCGGGAGATCAGATGGTGGCAGAAAAAGTCAGAGCGGCTCGGTTTGAATCTAACTCGTACAAAGTGTGTGGCTTTGAGCCAGTGATGTAATCTTCCTTCCTGAGCCTTTATTCTCAAAATCTGTGAAATGGGGATGTCAGTAATGCCTGCGTTGGCCCACTTCAACGGGTTGCTGGGAGACGCCATTTGATAGATGATGTTGTTATAATGCTATGCAAATGTAAACTTCTGCTCTGCAAAAGTTACTCCTATTTCCAGAACCTCCTCTTTGAAGTTAATTTATTCTAGAGTGAGAATCTAAGTTACTTGTTCTGGGTGCACCGTATTTTTAACTCCATCAATTATCCCGGACTTTGCCTTAAAGAAAGGAGTTTCTGACAACAGCAGGGGGGTACTTCTGTCTTACCCTGGATGGTGAGATGAACGATAGTTATTTGGCTAACGTGATGGGTAAGGGGATAAAGTTGACCACTCTAAGTGTTGGGCAGGGAGAGTCCCTTTTCTGTCTCGGCGACTTCTGGGGTCTGGTTGTGACCCAGAGAAGCCAACTTTGGAAGAAAGAAGTGGTGGGGGGGGTGGGGGGAGTGGTGGTGGTAAGAAAAGGTTAAGATTCAGCTACATTGGCTCTTTAACCACCCCAAACCCTCGCCACAAGCAAAGGTGGGGGGGGGTCATCCCTCCCCTCATTCATTTGCATTCATTCTGTAAGTATCACTGGACGTTCATTATGTGCCAGGATTATGCTGGGCACTGGGAACACACATGAGCAGGACAAGCCCATTGTTGGCCTCCTGCTGCTTATAGTTTGAGAGGAAGATGAGGTTAAGTAATGTGACCAGAGAGGAAGTATCAAAGACTGCGGGGGACTTAGAACCTTAGTGTGAGGGCTTGGAACCTACCTATGCTGGGTACAGGTGCTGGAAAGAGGGACAGGAGTTGGGTAGGCGGGGGGCAGCGGGGGAGGGCGAGCAGACAGATTCTGGTATTTGCGAAGGCGATGAGGGGAGAAAGAGAGAACAGAAAGAAGTTCAGTTAGGCTTTCGGGATTTTTTTTCCTTTCTCCTCATGGCTGTCCTTGTTACTATTTTAAATGTGACTCCATCTGGATAAAAATGTGGGGCGCCAAGACCTCTGGGTGGTTTTCGCCTAGCTTTATCTCCAGCCGGAGCTCCGGATGGCCTAGAATGGGCAGGACAGAGGAGGACAGCTTAAAGGCTGACCACAGGCTCAAGACTCTGTTACGCAGCCGTAAGTCTAGTCTTCCTACGCCTGATGAGTTTCCTTGTGATACTGCACAGCATGGAGATCGAGGCCGTACATGTTGGGGCAGAGGGTGATGAGAGTACTGCCTCCCTCTGTCTACATTCCCACCCCAACGTTGATGTTGTTTTGGAGGCATGGAGGAAGTGATGGCGTGTTTACAACCCAGATCCGGTTTTGAAGCTAGGCAGAACACCCGGCTCGATTGCACAATTCAGCTCCAGCCCCTCGTAGGTGGCCTCACCTGTGGCTGCTCCCATCTCACGCTCAGGTGGGGGTCCTGAAGCGGGCAGGGAACAATCAGGGCTGCAAAACCTCTTTTCATGTCGCATATGAAGAAACCAGCGCCCGGACAGGCGAGATGACCAGAACAAAAATCACATGGTCACTTGGTTGCAAAGCCAGGACTAGAATGCATGTCTCTAATGCCACTCGTCCATAATACTCCTTTCTGCGGCCTTTACAACCATAGTTATTTTATTTTATCTATGTGATTCTATCTGATACTCTGAGCAGTCTTGTGTGATAGATACGGATTAAGGTCCTTTTTTTTTTGTAGGTGAGAAAATTGAAGCTTGGGGAATTTATTCGGCCAAGTCCTCCAAGTTAGAAAGCAGATTTCCTAACTCAAAATTCAGTGTGCTTTCCATCGTGCCCTGTGGTTACGGGGCATACACAGTCTCTGGCTTTGCCGATTATCCACCTGAGAACGGCCTGGAATGTAGATAACGACCACAGAGGAGGGCTTTCAAGGAGTACATTAACCATGTTTGAGCATTCTTGCCAGGCTTCCTGCATCCAAGTTGCATATCAGAATCAAAATCAGCAAGTAGCTGGCCCTTGCAAATTGCCATCTGAGCCTCAAGCCGGCAGTTTTGTGTGGGAAAAGCGGCTCCTTATCTTCAAATCCACACTTAAGGGACCCGTGTCTCTGTTTTCTGCTGCCATCCTCATGCTGCTGGGACTCTGACACTTGTTCTTGTAGAGAAGTTCTCGTTAAATGTACGTGGAAAAAAAACAATAATTGAATCATCTGCACGGTGTTGTGACTTGAGCGGTGTTCCGCTCATTTATCCTTGGGGGTTAAATGGGGGTAGCAGTGCCTTTGCTGTTGGTCCGGGGAGGCCACAGGGTGGTCCGCTTCTGGTAAGGTGGTCCTGACAAGACATCACTGGTCTAGATTGGGGGTGGGAGCTGGCAGTGGTTCCGTGGCTTTCCCAGAGGGTAAGTGATCTGCTAGGTGGGGAGAACCAGGTGGTTCTGTGATTGTATTGAGATGGACGGAAAGATGGGGTTCGGGGGGGGAACCTGCTTCGGGGAGAAAATGGGCTGGGAAGAGGTAGGGGACCGCAGAACCTGAGGCCTGGTCCCCAGCAAGTCTGGCATGGGGTGGGGAGGGTGGCAGAATGCTGGGTTTAAGGAGGTGAGGAAAGGCTGTCCCTCATTTGGAAGGGTGACACTTGGCAGGGGAGGGGGCCTCTGTTAAGCTAACTGGAGAGGACTCTAGGGCAGGGTGGAGAAATCAAGCTACTGTGGTTTGTTGAGAACAAGGAGCATTTTGGGAGAACTGAACCGATCACCCCCTGCTCCCTCTAAACCAAGGACTGGACGACCGTAGAAGCGGCCCCATCTTTTAGCCTTGCTCCTTCTGTCTTTAGTCTTATCAAAACCCAGGATCTGAGACCTGAGCACAGTGAAATATAAAATGGAAGAGAGGAGGCCACAGCGGATTAGGTCTTGACTGCTCCTACGAACCCGCAAATCCATGTTTACCTTGGGTGTGCCTCCATAGTTCCAACAGCGGGAACTGTATCTCCTGGTTCAAAGAGGGTCTGGATCTTTAAGCTGAATTGAGCTGTAACCTGTGTCCTCCTCCCTCTTTTGAGTGTCTGTCCCCTCCCACCCCCAGTGGCAAGCTTTAGAGGCTTGCGGCAGGTGTTGGCCGCAGGCTGAGAGAACTGGCATATTGTGCCCGTTTGGCAGCACCGTAGGTAGGGTGGCTCAGTGCTTGGTCACCCTGGAGGGTCACAGGCAAGCCGCTGTGCGGGGGCCCAGTGTCAGGCACAGGCATTCACGTGTGCAAGGAACCACTGTATAACTGCGTGCTTGTCCCCTTTTGGGATGGTCCCTGTCTCTTACTGCCTCTGTGCGGGCGCGTATTTACTGTGCTCGGGGCCTGGGCAGTTGAGCTAGATGGAGGGCTGTGGCCACTTCAAATAGGTTTTGATGCCCAGAGTAGTAGAAACCGTGTGAATTTCACAATGGGGGCGGGTTCATCCGGACCGTAATTTGCCGGCTGCCGTGTTCTGCCTTCTCAGAGCTCGTTTTCTTTGGCTCCGGGCTCTCCCGCCGAGGTGGGGATGCGGCGGGGGGCCGGGGGAGGTGGTCGTGCGGCGAGACAGGACCGGGGGCTGTGCAGTCAGGGAAGGAGACCGGTTTAGGGCGACCTCGACGCGACCCTGCGGAGGAGGCAACTAACTCCGGGGAAGACGAGCGAGCCCCACACAACTCTCGACCGCCGCAGGGAGGACGACTCGGTGCGCCCGCCGGCGGGCCAAGGGGACGCACGCTCGCGGGCGCTCGCTGCCTTGACTTCCCCATCCCCGCGCGGGGGAGGGGCCCGAGTGGCGCCGAGGCCGCCGAGCGCAGAAAGTGCGCGAAG